GGGGGGGCATGCTGCATGGTGAGCGGGGGGCATGCTGCATGGATGATGGCAGGAGCAGGGTGAGGGGGGAGCCACATGGATAATGGGGGGTTGTGCCATGGTGGGTACAGGGGGCATGGAGGCCGACCCAGGTAATGCAGCAACTTCTGTGCGCGGTTCTGCACGGGCCGCAGCTGGAAGAGCTCTGGGTTCTCGTCGATGAACTGAGTGTCCACGGTCCCTGCCAGGAACTGCTGGTTGTTGAGTACATTTTGCAGGAATGGGATATTCGTCTGCAGGACAGAGGGGTGTGGATGTCACCATGCTGCACCACAGGCCAGCCACCACCAGGGCCTGAGGCAGCACCTGCCATCCCCAGGGCCACTTTCCCTGTAGGAAACTCTGCCTGAGCTGCCCGCCATCCCAGCCAGTCTCTGGGAAGAGAGTGACCCTCCCAGGGTCACTTGGTGATGCGTCAGAGAAGGAAAACCCATCCTGAAATGTATACAGAATTTCAAGGCACCCCGGAGGCCAGTCATCGTAAAAAGATACCTATGCTGCAGCACACACACCCCAATTCCAAACCTCCTCCTAAAGCCATAGCAATCAAAACAGACTCTGCTAACAGTGACCTACAATCAATGGACCAGAACAGAGAGGCCAGAAATAAACCTTAGCTCTCTATGGTCATCTGATTTCCCACAAGGGTCCCAAGACCACTCAATAAAGAGACAGACCTTTTGTAACAGTGCTGGGAAAACGGGGTCTTAATGTGAAAATGAGGCTCCATACCTTACACCATACACAGAAATTAACTCAAAATAGATCAAAGACCTAAATGCTACGAGCTGAAACCATAGAAGTAAACAAAGCGTGCATGACCTTGTATTTGGCAACAGGGTCTTAAATAGATGCTAAAAGCACAGACAGCAGGAAAAAGGACCAATGGGCTGTCAATAGCCCAGAATTTTTTTTTTTTTAGAAAAACCCAATAAACTCCCACAATTTAACTACAAAAAGACAGATTATAACATGGGCAGAGGACCAGAAAAGACATGTCCTCCAAGAAAATGCAGTCAGTCCACAATACAAAGTGGGTCCTACAAGTCACTCAAGTTGGCTCTGACATGTCAAAGGCTTCTTTTTGTTTACTTTTCGAGTATTTATTGTTACTGAGATATATATAAATCAGTATCTTTACAAACCTACTCTCTGTCTTTGGGACGAGGCACAAGAATGACAACATCAATAACGTACATGCCTCAGCAGCTGGTACAGATCACCAAGGTGAGTCAAGTCCTAAGTACATTGGTAACATAAACACCTGTTCAGTCACATCTGCCTGTATCTGGATGGCTAATAAGCATCCAACAAATGAGTGGACAGAAAAACTGTGGTATATCCGTACAATGGAATACTATGTAGCACTGAAAACAGTGAACTCATAAAACATTAGACAGCAATGGGGGGGCCTGGAGCACATCATGCTGAGTGAAATATCTCAGTCACAAAAGGACAAATACTGTATAGCACCATTGTTACAAAGCAGGTCTGACATGGGGGGTCAGAAGGAGAACAGGAGAAGAGTGGATAATGACCATTGCACTGGAATAGATGAAGGTCTAAAAGGATCTATGACTGGGCATTATATGTACAACAACAGCCCAGAATAAGACCTACTACATCACTGCAAAGAGGAAAGTGTAGGGGCAAGGGTAGGGAAAGTAGGTAATTATGCAACAATGAACGAAGATTTTTCTTTTTAAGTGAACTGGGGGAAAGGAGAGGGGTTTAAAATGTGCAACAATGTGGGGAGCTCTGGTGACCTAGTGGCAAGAAGCTGCACTGCAATCACAGAAATATGTGGTTCAAATCCACCAGGTGCTCTGCCAGAGAAGAGGCCATCTCCTCCTGTACCAGTCAGATCCAATTTGACGGTACACACACACAGAAAATAATAAAAAAAAAAAAAAGTGCAACAATGAATGAAAATCTCACTTCTCTGTAAACCTTCATTAAAATCACAATTCAAATAATTAAAAAAAGATTCTCAGCACCATGGAAAATACAAGTCAGGACCACAAGGAGATACCACTTCAAGCTCACCAGACACCTGTGTTAAAGGTAGGACCCACCAGCACCAGAAAGGATGTGGAAGACCGAGAACCCTCGCTGGCTGAGAATAAAAATGGCAGAGCCGCCACACAAGACAGGCTTACAGGTCCTCAAACCATTAACCATCCCACCACCTTGGAGTTGATTTTGATTCACAGCAACTTCCAAGAGTAGAAGTGTCACAAAGGGTTTCCAAAGCCGTAATCCATAGAGAGGACTGCGGCGTCTTCCTCACTTGACCGGGGGTTTGAACAGCCCACCTTTATCTTAACAATGAGTGCTTGATCACTATGCCACCAGGGTGCTTTAGAATTACCACACGATGCCATAAACATACCCAAATAACTGAAAACAGATGCTTGTCTACAGGTGTTTACATTAACACCAGTAACAGCCCTGGACTGTTAATCACTAGCCAAAGGGCACACTGGACATGGGCTGTCCACACAATGGAGGACCCGGCACTGTGGGGTTAGGGGGTGCCGACAGCTGCACCACCCAGAACACCCTTGGTGCTGCGTGGAAGTGGTTTCACACAAATATGAGACAGAGAAGAGATTGGGGGGGTCACGGAGGGCTGGGCACCAGGGAGAAAATCAAGGAAGGATAATGGTGATGGTTGTGCATGTAAGTGGCCGCCTTTGTTACAGATATTTATCATGATGCTCATAAAAAGAAGGAAAAAAAGGTAAAGAAAAATGAGGACATTTCAACTGAATGCCAGGTGTTAGAGGACTCTGGTCAAGTCACCACGCTGACCCTCAGGGCCAGGCCCAGCTCTGCCACCCACTCAGCTATAAGCTCCAGGCCCTGGGGTGGCCTCAGTGGCCCATCAGGTGTGATGAAGAAGGAAAGAGCAGAAGCATCCCAAGCACCAGTCACCTGGGCAACTCCAGCCGCTCAGTTTACAGACACCCCAGGTGGGGACTGGGAGGGGCAAGAATACCTTCCACCCCAGCGGAGCCGGTCCAGACCAGAAAAGGCTTGCTCAGGCTACTAGCTTGCCATGAAGGACCAAGTATCCACTTCTCTAAGCCCAAATCTGGGGGACCCCCCCACCCCGTCAAGGTTTGCAGGGAAGTGAACCCTGCTGGGGCTGCTCTGAGAAGCCGGTAAAGAAGTTCCCGAGGGACGTGGACCTTCTCACTTCCCAAACGAGTGGCCCACCAGGGAAAGGGCAGTGCCCTGCACCTGGGTCCAAACCCCGATGCTCCCATCACAGCCCCGTGCATCTCCCCCCACCAGAAGCCCTTTCCCAGAGTAGCGAGCTCCACTGCACCCTGGGACACCCCCCCCCCCCCCTCAGAAACGAGACTGGGCGGGAGCAGGAAGGCCTGCAGGCTTCAAACCAGCGCCGCCACCGCGCCCGCGGGGACCTGGACGCGCTCATCCGGCCGGAGGCGGAGCCGGTGGCTTCCAGAGAGCGGGCGGGGTGTGAGAGGGGGGCGGACGCGTCTGCCTGGAGAGGTGCCGGCGGCCCCACCTGTGCGCCCCACACCCGCGGCAGCCCCTCTGGGGGCATCGCCCCGGCCCCCTCCCCCAGCCCTATGTCTGTTGGGGACCCTCCACGTGACTCGGTGATGCAGAACGGTTTTGACCTTCAGTGTGTGTCTGTGAACGCGAGGGTCCCGGCAACGGAGTGGTTTGCGCCCGGCCCTGCCCGTGGTGCGGGGTGTGGGCGTGTGTGGGTGTGCGGGGAGGGTGCCCGAGGCCATGTGACACGGGCTCCCAGCGCTCGGATGGCGAAGGGGCCCGCGAGCTGGCGCTTTGTCTGGGTGTCTGCAGAGTGACTGCTCGTGCGGCGCAGGATGCCTGGGCGCCAGGGTGGCCGGGGGCGCGCGCACCCGGGCCGGGGTGAGTG